CCCCGCCCCACGCCGCGCCGCACATGCCTGCGGGTAACCTGTGCCCGGTTGTTTTGCAGGGGGCTGATTCAGGAAATGAGCGGGGACACATCCGCTTGCCCCGGTAAGTGGCTCACCCTGCTGCGTTCCCTTCGGGACCGGCCGGGTCCCCTAACCATTTCACAGTGCTTCCGTGGTGTGGCATTTTGCCCATTTCATTTTCCTTTCTCTACTCGGAACGGAGGTCAAGGATCTCGTGGCTGACCCCGTGGCATTTCTCTGTCCTGTTTATCGCAGAACAGGATGTGGAAGCCACGCAGGGACTCACTCTCTATCCCAGACTGTGACACCTGCTCCTGAGATGCATCCGTCTCTCTCCTGCTTAGCTTGGGGCTCCCTAAACAAAACCTGTGGCCCTGGTTACAGGAGGGGGGACCCCTGAGAGATCCGTCCTCGCGCCCCTCGGGGGAGCACAGCTCTGCCTGGGAGGGCAGGCCTGTCCCAGCCGAGGGCAGGCGTGCGCTGGGCTCCTGCCCTCCCGACCCTGGCCCCGTTAAGACCAGTTCAGGAGGCGGGCGTGGAGGTGCTCGGACCAGCTGGCGTGCCCAGCGGCCCCAGCAGAAGCTGGTTGGGTTTGACTCGGCGCTACTGCCCGGCCTCCCCGGCCTGGCGCGTTTTCTCCTGGGGAACCGGGGTGCGAAACGGGATTTCTCCTGCTCGGAGTTGGCTTCGATCTCTGTCCCCAAGGGCTGCTCATCTTTGCTTTTCTGTCACGCATGTCTTTACCTCCTTAGCTGTTCTGGAAGATTCCATGTTGCTCCACTGGGTGAAACTCTTGTGTCCTCTTGTGCGTGTTGACCTGTTTTTGAAGCAAGTACCGAGCAGGGCTGTTGACACTGTGCACGTTTATTTTGATGTTCCAGATAAAGTTAAAGAAAGTTACCGGCAGCATTTTTTCAAGCGTGGTGGCACAGCAGAACTCAAGTGCTCCCAAAAGTCCAACCTGGCCCGGGTGGTGTGGAAGTTCCGGGACAGCGTGCTCAAGGTCGAGAGCCCCAAGTACAGCCTGGTGGGCAGGAAGAACTTGCTCATCTTCGACCTGTCGGAAGGAGACAGTGGGGTGTACCAGTGCCTGTCGGAGGAGAGGGTCAGAAACAAGACCATCTTGCAGGTGGTGGCCAAGCACGTCCTGGAGGTCAAGGTGGTCCCGCGGACCCCGGCGGCCTCTGCCCCGCCGGCCACACGGACAGAAGGTGGCAGGATCACCCCCAAAATGTCGCTGGGGCCCACCCAAGGCTCCCCTCCCCAGACCCCAGCTGTGCGGGTCAGCACGCCCAGTGCCGTCAGCCCCCCGTCCCACCCCGCAGCGCCCACCAGCACGTCCTGTGAACCAAAGATCGTCATCAACACGGTCCCCCAGGTCCACTCGGAGAAGACAATGTATCTCAAATCCAGTGACAACCGCCTCTTCATGTCCCTCTGCCTCCTCTTCTTCGTCCTGTTCCTCTGCCTCCTGACCTACAACTGCTACAAGGGCTACCTGCCCGGGCAGTGCCTGAAGTTCCGCTCGGCCGTGTTCCTCGGGAAGAAGAAGCCCGCGCTGGACTTCTCCGACTGCGAGCAGAGCGGGAAGGAGACGCTGGTGGAGCAGGGCAGCTTCTCCCAGCAGAACGGAGGGCAGCCCAAGCCGGCCCTGGACACCGGCTACGAGACGGAGCAGGACACCATGGCCAGCAGGGTGCCCACCGACAGGGAGGACTCGCAGAGGATGGACGAGCTCCCGGGCCGGGACAAGCCGTTCGACGTCAAGTGCGAGCTGCAGTTCGCCGATTCGGACGCGGACGGGGACTGAGGCGCCCGGCGCGCGCAGGGAGGTCCCCGTGTGGCCAGTTCCGTCCCCCGCCCAGTGCCTCGTAGGTAGCCGTCGTCTGCAGACCTCCGTCTTCTGTGTCTTCTTCTCTTGGGTCGCACTTGTGACTTGGTTTCTCTTTGTCCTTTCGGAAAACGCCGACCATCGCGTGCGGCCTCCCTCGGTGGGTCGGAGCGCTTGGGGACGAGCCCGCGCCGTGGCGGGAGGGCGGCCCTCCTCACGGCGGCCACTGCAGGATAGCTTACTTCCAGATTGGAAATGACGTTCTTCGTTTATCAGATTGGTAACTTATCGCCTGTTTTCCAGGTTGGCACGGACCGTTTTTCCCCCACGTAATTACTTTTTTAGGATTTGGCTTTAATTGTGTTGGTATGTTAGGTCTTTTTTTTTTGATCACTGAAGCAGATGTGTTTAATATTTAGGAGATGCACATCTCGGTTCTGCCGTCTGGTAGGGAAAGGTATGGCTTACGTTGCTTGAGATTCTCAGGGATAAACTTGCTTTTGCTTAAATGCGTTCTTTTCTGCTTTTAGAAGTGTAGACAAAACCGTCTCTTGAACATCCTTTTTGTTTTGTTTTTTTTAATTTCATTCTTGAGGGAAGCACCGTTTTCAGAGATTCTCTTTCTGTTCCTTTATTTCTCTTGTTTTAAGTCTTTGGAGGAGGAGAAGGTTGTGGAGGACGCAGCGCCAGGCAGGGTGTCAAGGGAGGGACGGGGCCTGGGAGAGCCAGGCTGGCCCAGAGCCGAGGGGACGCGCGTTTTCACAGTCCGATGCCCACGGCCGCCGGTCAGAACCTCCTGTCCAGACAGACGGACATTCGCCGGGATGTCTCGGTCGTCTGAACGTCTCCCTTCCTTTCACTTCCGCCTCGTGCCCCCGGCCGCCCAGACTCTCCGCTTGGCGTAACAAGCTGACCACGACTGGAAGAGAGCGAGGGGCCAGGCCAGTGACCACAGGCCTCCCCCAGAGGTCACGGCGCAGACCGGCCCAGCCCGGCCCCGTCTTTAGAGGTGCAAGCGGGCGGCAGTCTCCCGCCACCGGTGTGACACTCCACCTCCTGCTTTCCGGATGCCCGCAAGAGGAGCCTTTCTTTTCCGTGGCAAAGAGCAATAAACTGAGTGTGTGTGTGTGGACAGTGTCATCTTCCAGCATGATGGATTCGACCGTTTTGGTGTAAACATTTGTGTTTTGTAAGATTTACTTTGTTTTTATTTTTCTACTTTGAATTGTATACATTTGGAAAGTAACCAAATAAACGAGACGCTTACATCCTTGGCGCGGCCTGTGGCTTGCTGTGGCTCCCCGCCCCGCCGCGCGGCCTGGACAGGGGCCCCTTTCTCTCCTGTGCTCCGCCCCCCCGCCCCCGGTGTGCGGTGTGTCCCTGACGACGCCCCTCTCAGAGCCCTCTCTCTTTTCTGTCCTCTGTCTCGCAGCCTCATCTCCTCTGCCCTTCCCCCCTCCGGGGGTCCTCTTCCCTGTCCTGTCTGGGCCCCGACTCACCTTCCTCTCCCCGAAGCCCCTGGCCGGCCTCGGGCGCGGGGCCCGACAGCCGCCCACGGGTCACCTTGCTGCCGCCCTTCCTCAGCGACCAGGCCCAGCACGTGCACGCCCTGGGGACCTTCCAC